TGAGAGATGATTATAAGCCAGCAAGTCTTATTATGTTATAGCCACACGGTATTTCTGATCAGAAATCAAATTACCGATATCGTTCATGCCTTGCTTTTAGAATGTGTTTCCTGGGAAGAACTTTTACTAGTTTCTGAAAGTCAAAACTGTTAAGTATTTTCAAACTAAAGATAAGAGTGTGGTAGCTCAAAATTGTTGTTCCCTTGGGTGGAAACACGGGGTAATGTGAGTCCTAAGGGCTGAGGATAGATTCCCGGCTTGCCAGTTGCCTTGATTGTGTGTGGATACGTTACTTGACTTAGCCTAATCAAAGCAGGAAAGATCTTGCTTATTTAAAGTTCCTGACATACAACAACATTAATTTAATGTTAGATCCTTCCCCATCTCATTTTCTGGCTTGGTAAAAAGCAGCTAAAAAGTACCGTCCATTCTCTGCTTGAAACTTTGCACTAATTTTTTTAATCATTTTATTTAATTAATTTATTTATTTTTGAGAGAGAGAGAGAGAGCATGAGCAAGGGAGAGGGGCGGAGGGGGAGAGAGGGAGACAGGGGGAGAGAGAGAGACAGAGAGAGAGAGAGAGAGAGAGAGAGAGAATCTCAAGCAGGCTCCATCTCAGTGTGGAGCCCAATGTGGGGCTCAATCCCACAGTTCTGGGATCATGGCCTGAACCGAAACCAAGAGTCAGACCGGGCCACCCAGGTGCCCCGAAATTTCTCACTATTAAAAAAAATTAGCATTTGCTTATATTCTCTTTAATCATTAGATCTCGATCTCTCTCCGTCTTTTCTACAAGCTTTAAAAAATATGACTGCCCATAGCTCATTTGCTTAATACTTTTTGGGTGAGTGAATCGAATACTCTTTTAACAATATAAATTAGATTTCTTTAGTATCTCATTTCAAACTGGAAATGTAGTGAGCTGTATAATACCTTGTGTTAGCATTTGCACAACACAATGCTCTAACGGTTTCTCAGTTTGTTAGTAGTTTTTAACGGCGTTAACTCACAATAATAAAACCCGAGACAGGAAATTTCAAATATGCTGACTCCTTGAAAATGTTAACATCCAAGCTTCACGCTTCAATTTTAATAGGAGGCAAAAGGACCATCATCCTTAAAAGTGCAAAGCGATGAGTTTTCATATGCACTGTAATTGTAATAAGCTGGTACACAGTTCAGCACCTGTGGAATGTTAACTTTCCTAATGTGAATTCCTCAATCCCAATATGTTCTTACTCCAAGCTCTGAAGAATGCTTTCCCTCATATTAAAAACTCTGTTAAGGGGGCGCCTGGGTGGCTCAGTCAGTTAAGCATCCGACTTTGGCTCAGGTCACGATCTCACAGTTTGTGAGTTTGAGCCCCGCATCGGGCTCTGTGCTGACAGCTCAGAGCTTGGAGCCTGCTTCAGATTCTGTGTCTCTCCCTCTCTCTGCCCCTCCCCTGCTCATGCTCTGTGCCTCTCTATCTCTTAATAATAAATAAACATTAAAAAAAAAAACTCTATTAAGGAATAAAGGTGTAACTGGGTTAGTCAATCGTTAATATCTAACTCAAGAGGAAACCATTGGGAGTGCATGTTGTTTTGTACTAAAAACTGTCATTTTGGTTCCCCAGAGGACCACAGACTTCTCTAGATAACCAATATCAACTCTTCATGGGAAATAATTCTCAATAAGAGATGTTGGAAGTATCCTTCCCACTCAATAAGCAGTAAGGAATCAGTTTCTGCCTCTGAGGCTCCACTGGGTATTTGAAGTGTAACTAGAAAGCCAAAGACACAAACCTTTCCGTAGGATAACCCATCAGATGACCAACTACTGCGGCTTAAGTGCCCATCACTGGCGGGACAGGATTTCTCCTTTAAAAAAACTTCCTGTCTTACTAGATTTCACTGTGGCACTTGAACAGCTTTCTTTTTTGTGCTTCTAAAATAAAACCTCTCCTGTTTCTGAAAACCTTCAAAATTTGGTGTTGACGTGGGGGTCAGTCATGAGGTCTCTTTTTTAGCTTTTTACCTTCCACCCTGTCCCAGGGAAACCCCTTCAACCATGGCTGACAGCCTACTCTTTACCAGGGCCTCAAGCTTTTTCCTGAGGCCCTTGTCCACTAGCGAGCACTAGCTTCTGGATGTCTTCACATAGATGACCGCAGACCCCACCATGTTCAAAACAGAACTGCATTCTGCCGCTTTGGGTACCAGAAACAATCCAAATTACAAACTTAAGAACATTTAGAAAATTCTTTCAGGTCCTAGGGAATCTCTCTCCTAAAACTCTTTCAAATTTATCCCCTTACTTTATACCTTCACTGACACTGCCTTAGAGGAAGGAGACCACATATATTGTCTATGTGATTCCTACCCGTCCCTAACCAAAATCCCCTGGGGAGTTTCTAGAATCCATTATAACCCATGCCAGAATATTAGTGAGCACAGAGTTCAAGTAACTTCTCCAGGCAGTTCCTATATGCCTCCAAATGCATTAGGGGCTTGACATATGTTATCTCAATTAATCTTGACCAAAACCCAATGAGGTACGCACTTTTAAGCCCATTTGTAAAAGGAAAAACTTCAGCCTCAGGGACGCTAAATAGCTTGGATAAGATGAGACAACTCCCAAGTGACATAGCTGAGATTGATCCCAATGTTCATCTGAGCCCATATCCATGCTCTTCTGACTTCCCTGCCACTTACTCTCCATTCACTCATTCCGTGGTTCCCATTTGCCAGTTGCCTAAGTTGTAAGAGTTTTTTTTTTTTTTAAATGCAGGTTCCTAAGCCAAACCCACAGAAATTCTCACTGTATAAGGATTAGATTCAAACCCAGAAATGCACATTTGAACAAGCACCCAGGAGAATCTAAAACAGGCATCTAAGGATTCTGCCTTAAGACCCGGTTAGCTCATCACACATATTATTAACGCTATTTTTCCACAATATGCAAATAGAATCATGTCAGTGTTCACAATAAAATACCAGTTCCTACATGTGGTGCATCTGACCTTCACAGGGGTCACAGCCTCTTTTGTCTCAGCCCCTGCCTCTCTCCCTCCTGTCTCTCTCTCTCTCTCTCTCTCTCTTTCTGCCTCGATCTCACACTCTCCTCTCCAGCCACATGGAACCAGTGCTTGCTCTTCAGTGACAAAGTCGTGCCTTCCTATATACCCAAGTCTCTGCACGTGCTGTGGCTGTATTGGGAAAGCCTGGACTTGTTGACATCAGTGACCTGCTCTGTCATTCCTCCAGAGCCAGCTTCTCCCTCCCATCATTCCTTAGCACCGAACACTTTTAGGCTCCAGTGCACTTGTTTCTTAACGTGTCTACCTCTCACCAGACTACTGGTGGCAGAAACTGAGAATTTCTCCCTGCATCTTCCTTACCCCAACCAGGCCCTTATTAAATATTTGGCTGATGGGAAAAAAAAAAATCAATCAATTGAATTCTGGCAGAGAATCCTAAAAGCTTACAGATTCTGTGGATACATGTTTTTCATACATGGTAATGAAATATGTACAACTCTCTCAATCTTTTGGTATGCCATAGACTTGTACAATTGTTAGAGGAAGAAAGGAATTTGGAGGTCATGTTAGATGATCTCCCCGTTTTACAGATGGAACAACAGAAGCCCAGAAGAACTGAGTGACTTTCCCAAGTTTACCCAGAGAAGTCAGTGGAGGCTAAAAACTTTCCTGTCCCTGGTCTAGTTCCCCTTCTGCTATCCCATAATGTTTTTTTTCTTCTTTTTCTTCCATTTTTCTACTTTCACAGGAATTAACAATTATTTGAGTACCCTCTGTCTGAGGCACTGGGCCAGAGAATGCTAGGTCCCCATCTAGAATACTAGGTTCCTCGTCCCTTCCATCATCACCCTTGGGCGTCTGAGATCCTGTCAGCTGCCAGACACATGTGCATTCATCAGTGTTCCCCATCTCAACAAGCTCACAGTCTGGAAGAGAAGACACATAAATGTGTAACGATTAAGACATGGGGTATCTGGTGTTTGCATTACCAGCCTAACCAAATGGGTACTCTATGACATCCTTGGGACTAAGCATGGAATGAAAATTTAGTGATAATGTATACAAATGACAAATGTCACCCTCCCTTCTTTACCAAATTTGTAATAGGGACCAAAATGTCAATCAGAAAAATAAGAATAAAGCACACACTTGAGACATCTCATCCCAACTCACCTGCCATAGAATTGCCAAAACACTAGTACCCTGTAAAGGGGGTCTTTTAATATATCCTTACTGCCAAGACAGATTAAAATTGGGGTCACTAAGACCATAATTATTAATACCTGAACCTGAAAATAGACACAGTAGACCCAAAGCAATATAATCAACCTTCACCATCATACCTCCAAGACTAGACTGATTTACACATAAGTTGAGAGTGTCTTAGTCCATTGATTCAAGTTTCATTAATTCTCTATTTTCAACCAAACTCCAAACTCAATACGCATTCATCCAAGAGTATTGAGAGAGATACACTGCATCTGGTGTTAATACTTTTGGACTCTAGGATGCCCTGTGTTCAAACTGGGAGAGGGGAGGGGAGTCTCCCTCTTAGCTATGGCTCCTAATCCCTTTTTTTTTTAACACTAAAGTAAAGACAACTGAACTCACAAAAGCCTTCATAAAAAGTAGCTCGGGGGCACCAGGGTGGCTCAGTCCCTTACGTGTCTGACTCTTGATTTCAGGTCAGGTCATGATCTCACCGTCCTGGGATGGAGCCCCACATCGGGGTCTGTGCTGAGAGAGAAGCCTCCTTGGGATTCTCTTTCTACCTCTCCCTCTGCCCCTCCCTCCCTCCCTCTCCCTCTCGCTCTCTCTCTCAAAATAAATAAATAAACATTAAAAAAAAGAAAAAGTAGCTCAGCTCAACACTATGGACGGAGTCGGACTAAGAAGTGCTTATAGTTCACTTATCTAAGGAGAATTTTCAGAGACTTCAAGATGCTCTCATTTTGTGAAATAAGCCTCCTTTGGGGACTGGGTAAATTACTGGAAAACGAGTACCTGCCATTCACCAGCAGGTAACAAGTACTATAAGAGTGGGCAACTCTGGGCATGTGGCAGCAGCCAGTGTGGTAAATCACGGGGACCCAGGCAACCAGGGCAAAGCAGGCAAGATGGCCTCAGGGAAACCCGAGAAGTGGACACAGAAGGCAGCTGTGCCCAGAAGAGGTAGCAACAGGTAGGTCGGCCAAAGCCTGGCCGCTATTAGGGCCCACGGAGACCTCTGGACCGACCACAACGTAGGACGCAAATTGGCAAAGGAGAGGTTATCCACACATGGAGGGCAGGGGACCTGAACCTCATGAGCATCAGAACTTTGTGTGGAACAAAGCAGAGCAACTCACTCAGGTTCGCAGAAAGCCAGTCTCCACTTCGTGCAGAAACACAATCTCCTGACCTAAGGCTTCAGATAAATTTGGGGCTAAAAAATGCAGTCCAAGGTTTTATATCTTAAAGTCTTGCAGAATTCAGAAAGAGATTTTGGGAGGGGGGTGGAGAGAAATCAATGGGGAAGCTTCAATAGTGGGCAGATGGACACTGAAAAGTGCCGCTTCTCTGCGTGATGCATGTGGTGGGTCTTGTGGACACGTGCTGAGGCCTCAGGACCAGGGTGTCTAGGGGGAAGAGGACCAGGGTCTGGCAAGGGGGGAGTGTCTTGTGGGAAGGTTCAGAGAGAAGCCCGGAGCTGTGCACTGGGACCCAGCTTCAGGTGGGCAAGCTTCGTGAGGGAGAGCATGACTCAGAACCCACATGTCTTCCTGGGACTCATCTCTGGGGCACACAATAGTCAACAGGCATAAAATCTTAACCTAAGCTTTTCCCACATTGGGATCTGCACTGACAGCACGGAGCCTGCTTGGGATTCTCTGTCTCCCTCTCTCTCTCTGTTCCTCCCCCACTGTGCTCTCTCTCAAAATAAAGACATAAACCTTAAAAAACAATAAGGAAGGAGTCAGATCTGAATTTGAACTCAGCTTGACTCTTATTATGTGGGTAGATTATGTAATAAGTTTGAACCTATCATTTCATCTGTAAAATAAGAACAATAATGTCTGCTTTATTGTAAGAATCAGAGATATAACATTAGGTAACCTTCAGAGTAGCTGGTATATTACAGTCACATGAGAAGTGATAGTTGCCACAATAAAACCATGTAATATTTAAAAAGTGGTCACTTGAAGCATCTGGGTGGCTTAGTCAGTTAAGCGGTGGACTTTGGCTCAGGTCATGATCTCATGGTTTGTGGATTCGAGCCCCACATCTGGTTCTGTGCAGACAGCTGAGAACCTGGAGCCTGCCTCAGATTCTGTGTCCCCCTCTCTCTCTGCCCTTCTCCTGCTTGTGCGCTCGCTCTCTCTCTTTCTCAAAAATAAACGTTAAAAAAATAAAAATAAACAAGAAGTGCTCACTTGTGGCAAGTCACAGCCCACCACCGCCTGGAAGTTCAGTTCCAGACACAGTATGTAAGAAGAACTATCTGCCAAGATAACGTGATGGTCAGATGAGAATATAATAGCAGACTGTGCCCCCAGGTACCAGTAAATAGCATCAGTGAGAACTGCATGCTAAAGACAAGAAAGCATTTGCATAAAAACTAGATAAGAAAATATCCCAGCCTGCAATACTTCCAAGAGCACTCAGAATCAAGTACTCCATTTATAATATGGGACAAGCTTGGCTTATCTGATGTAGGAAATGTCACAATTACTGAAGCAAAAAGATCACAGCGGAAGTTCATCTTATGGATGCACAAATCATCAATTTCCAGTGTTTTGGAAAACACATTAATAATTACCTGTGACTATCTCCTGCAACGTGGTGTTTCCAAATCCATAGAAATGGCTCAAAAATCTCATTTTACCTCTCTGATACATCAGACGTGCTGTGTGTGATGTTATTTATTTTGTTACTATTACTCTTACTATGATGACTATTGTATTGGCCTCAGATACTTTGCTATGTTTTACTGGGTTTTCTTTTTTTAAAATTTTTTTTTCAACGTTTATTTATTTTTGGGATAGAGAGAGACAGAGCATGAACGGGGGAGGGGTGGAGAGAGAGGGAGACACAGAATGGGAAACAGGCTCCAGGCTCTGAGCCATCAGCCCAGAGCCCGACGCGGGGCTCGAACTCACGGACCGCGAGATCGTGACCTGGCTGAAGTCGGACGC